CAATGAGAGGGATCTCTGCCCTAATTGGCCTTTTCTTTTTTTATCCTTGTCACGCTATGTCTTAGGCACATTGTGTGTTTACAAAAGGATGCCAGATGATGGTATTTGTGTTCTTCACAAAAAAGAAGGGTCTCCCATCACTTCAAAGAAATTATATTAAATTGTATAAAAATGAATGCGCTTCCCAAATCATATACCTGTTTTCATTCCAAAATATGTTACCATTCACTTGATGCTTGTTCTATTTCTCAGTTTCTACTAAAAGAAAAACAAAGAATTGGGTGGCATTATCTAAATATTATTATATATTATTAATATTATTATTATTATATTTTACTTTTGGTCTGCAAATATTCAAACTATATTGCACCGGTGATGTTGTAACAATCAACCCCTACAAATTGAGGACACCTCATGCTGTTCTTCCCTCTATTACTGATAGGGCTTTTGCAACCTGGGAAGACCATCGTATTGTCTCTGCAAAGCATCTTTACATTTAATGGGTCATTTGCATCTTTAGATCAGTTAGCTTGTGTATTCAATGTACCGAGGACCCACTTCTTTAGATACATACAAATACAAATTACAAAGACTTTATTCATGATCACTAACCTGGCTTTTCCACTACTCCCCCTTCTGCCTTGGTTGACATCATTCTTAATATTAATCCTTACCTTAAAGGTACCATTTCACAGCTGTACAACACTCTTCACATGTCAATCTTCAGCCTTACAATGTAAAGTAGTTCACAGACTTTACTGGTCTAAAGGCAAACTAGGTTGCATCTATCCTGGCACTGATCCAAATTGTGATAAATGTCACCTTGGAACAGCCCTTTGTTTGCCTGTTTGGCGTCCTACCCACTGACCACATAGCTAGAGAAGCATGTTATTCTGATGCACTGGAATGTTCCTTGTCCACCCTTTCATACCCAGTGGATAATGGACGCCCTATTCTTAGTAAAAATTGACATAATTAAACAATTCACCCACATGGTTGAGACTGTTTTCACCTTTGGCTATTAGTCGCTGATTCCAGGGTGGTGCACCGTTGTGATGTGTGATACCACTTAATTCCTATCCGATCCAATACCAAGTAATACCCAGGCTGGTATTGCCGATACCGATACAAATACCAATACTTTTATATATTTTATTTCTAGTTTAATGTGACCTCCCCCTCCCGTTTCTGTATTTATGAGAGAAATAAGGAGTAAGCTGTAGCCTTACCAATTCAAAATAATAGCTGCATAATGACAAGACATCAGACTACTGTCATATTCTTTAATTATAATGAAAATATCCTGCTCTGAACTGCTTCTTAACATCATCCTATTATTTTGACTTAATTTCAGATGTTTAAAGAAGTTTGCAGTGTTGCCAAAGTATTTCACTGTCTTTGCTCACACATCACACAGAGCAACATTATTACCTTCACAACTAAAATACAACCAGAGCTGACTCTTTTTACAGTCAGCCAGAGTCAGTATTCAATCGCGGGAAATGTAAAGGGCTGCAGCGGCTCACTTCAAAGAAGCTCCGTCACAGAGCCGTAGCACAAGCATGACTTTGACAGGCGGAAGGAAAAGTAGTTCCTATCAACTGAGTATAATTAGACCATTCTGGTGACAGTAAGATACTTATGATAAAACACACACTCACTCCAAATGACTGAGTTTAGATATCGATCCTTTTATATGATTTTCGATCCTGGAAGGAAACGTTGGTATCAGAAATATCGATTCTTTAGGATCGATCTGCACATGTCTAGTGCACCGTATTTACTAATCTTTTTAAATTATTTTTCAATTTAATAATTTTATTAATATTTTATACATTTCTTTGATATTTACTAATACCCAACCCTGCCCCTACCAGACCAACAGTGGATTTACTGCTCTCCCTCCACAGCTTTTTCTCTTTCACTGCTTTTCACTTCATGCCCTGATTTAGCACACAGCCTTCCACTGTTCTTTCTCTAGTGTCATTTAACTCACTTTTCATTTAAATGCTTCAATTCCATTTACCTTTTCAAGGACTCTTGAAAATTTTGTAATTTTCAGTACATCTGCTACACAAACAAGTTTGTGTTGTTGACATTATGTGTATTACTTGGTCAGAGGCATTTGAATAAGTTGACAAGGTCTGGGGCTAAGCCCAGACCATCTGGGGCTGAGGGCAGTGTGGTGTATCAAATAATTTATTTTAGGGGTGGTCTGCCTTTAATTCTACTGCATTGTATGACAACTCTACACACATATGCAGAGCACAGAGGTCACAGCGGACAGGATAAAGTGTGCACGAAAGAAAGGAAATATTCTTACACCTACTTTCCTGACAACTGTGCACCTTCTGAATTCAAGTTTGTCTCTTTCACTAAACTAAGACTAGCTTAATTTCCTTGTTAACTCATCCTAAAACCATATTTGTTATCGTTTCCACTGTTCCACAAATCACCAACTCTGGTTTGGTGGATATAAATCCTTAATTCACTGAGTTAGTTTGGTATACATGCTTTTTCCCCCACTGTCTACTACTCACTTAGCATGCTGAACGAGCGTCAGTCGCCCCAAAATCATTGCTAATGGTTTAGTTGATATTGATATTTACTACACCTAGTTTTCTTGGTTCAGCGTGAGAGGATGTTTGTGCCACTGCTTCACAGTCAAACCTTTTTTACTGGTAAAAAATCTTCTTAAGACTGACCAGTCTTGAACTTTAGGAACAGTATGTGTAACAAAGTAATCTAAGCTCAAAGGACCACTTAGTAGCTTTTGGAGCTTTCAACTGCTTATGGTCTTCATTCAGTGGATACAAACAATGGATCTGGCTCCACTGACTGGACGCTGCAGCTAATCGGACTGATCTGATGCATCACCACAGGTAACGTTAAACTTGAGTGTATCACTGCAAAGAGTTAGGCTATGATTTGTTTTAAGATTCACTGGGTGGTGCAGTGGGTAGCACTGTCGCCTCACAGCAAGAAGGGTGTGGGCTCAAACCCCAGTTGCCCCGGCCTTTCTGTGTGGAGTTTGCATGTTGTCCCCGTGTCTGCGTGGGTTCTCTCCGGGTGCAGAGTGTGTGCAGACACAAACTCCATCAAAAGTCTCTTCAGCTGTTAGAGCCGACTGACAGCTGATCCTGCTGTGATCAGCTGCCGCCGCCATCAGAAACAGACGTCGCTTCACGTGACGCTTTGGAGCAAAGAATGTCTCATGTCTCTCAAAACATATTTCCTCGTTACTTCTCTCCTTGCTTGGTTTCCTTGGCGTCTCTCCATGCAACCCCAGTGGGCGGGACTAAGACACAAGGAAAAGACGCTAGTGAGGGAAACGTGGATGCAATTAAGAGACTTGAGAAGCACCCAGTGAGTGAGCAAGGCAGCCAGACCCGAGCACAGCTTCCCAGACCGATGAAGGCCAGTTTGATCACTTGTTAATACAGTACGAAGGTGGTTTTCTTGCCGGTTTGGCTCTTGTCACCGCGAGGCTGAGTCAGTTAATGAGGTTGTGTTCTGTCCAATTCATGTCGTGTTCATTGGGAGGCTGCTGAGCACAGTTTCGTTTTACTAACAACAACAACAAAAACAGGGTTTAGTGACGAGTTACTCTGTAATGTGTTAAACGGTTTGCGATAAGTGAACATGTACAGCTGAACCGAAGCCTTGATTACCAGCTTGTCAGGACCCGCCTTACTCTGCTTCTGATTGGCTCTTTAACTAGGTACATGTGCAACTCTCAACAAAGATCAAATAGATGCTTGTGAGATGCTTCACTCCATACCTTAAATTGAGCATTCAACACACAGGGTGAAAAGAGGTGCTACAGCAAGAGGACAAAATTAGTGTTTTTTGAAAATCAAGCCATGTAAACCTGTTCTGGTACAACCCCTAAATAAAATTATGAACCTGGGAACTCCATTTGGGCTGGACTTTAGGCTTTTTCACTTTGCAAACCTATTACATGCACAAAAAAAGATATATAAAAACAATAAAGAAAAGGGAAAAAGCCAAAAAGCATAATATGATCTCTTTAAAATTAAAGGGTCGGTGTTTCAGGTCAATGCATTTACTTTCTAACAGAAAAATAAAATATTTCTGCTCTACTGACTTCCTTTTATGATTGTGTCCATGTGAATCATCAATTAAATGTATATAGTAAGAAGGATTACTGAAGAGAATGATTGTTCAGCACTTACAGCAGTAGGCAATGTTGCTGGTTAGAAAATGACCCCGGCTTTTTAACTGGAAGAACATTTTTACCTTTGATGTGTGTAAAAGTGGTCAGAGGCTATTTCATTCAGTCACAGCAACATGTCACCACTACCACTTTGGCTTCAGCGTTTCCATGGCAATTCCTGGCGCCATCTCACGTTGAGAATCGATCTGCTGGATATTACATGTAAAAACTCTGAGGCTTGGCCCTCCGTTCACATGTCCATGTTGGCGTGATCAAAAGACTGAGAAAAACAATGTGGGATGGAGTGGTGAGCAGTAAAAAAAAGACGAGTGTGTGTGTTGTGAGTGTCTGTGGGTGGGCTGAGGATTGGCGGTCATGAGGGAATCAGGGAAAACATGAAGTAGACAGAGAGAGAAAGAAAGGAGAGGATGAAAAATCTGTTTTTATTCAGCTTTTCTGCCTTCATGTCTGGCCAAGAAATCTGCTGGTACTGCCCTTCACATCCATCATTGTTATAGTACAGCCAGTGAGGAGAATGTCAGACTCAGGGCTGCAGTGCATGTGTGGACCTTCCTGAGTGTGCATCCATGTGTATGTAAGCGTGCATGTCTGCTCACGAGCACTCCTCTGTCTCTCTCTCAGTACAAGAGCAGAGGCTGTAAATCTCCTGCGCTTACAGGTACCACCGTTTATCACAGCCCTGCCAGAGGCACTGTGTCATGCCCTCCACCTCAGCATAGCCTGCAGTCTCTCTCTCTCTCTCTGTGTCTGTGTTTGTCTGCGTTGTCTGTGATCACCTGAGTGGAGACAGGTGTGCCGGAGCAGAGCCTCCCCAGCTGCATCCTATCCTGTAATCAAGACTCAGCTCTGCCACAGCCACTCTGTCAGATCGTAGTTCCTGCTCAGTCTGCGTTTCATCTTGTATTACATTGCTTATTGTCTGTTGCCTGTGTCTAATCCTGTTTCTCCTCTCCCTGCAGTCTCGTGTGCTCCGACCCAGTTTCCAGCCCTTCATCCCGTCAGGCCTGTTCCTTTGCCTTGGTTTTCAGCTCGGCTCAGCTACTCCATGGCTTCTTCTCTAGACCTGCTCAGCTCAGACCAGGCTTCCCCCTGCTCAGCACTGCCAGCCTGCAGCCCAGTACCCGTCGCTCCCTGGCATCAGCTCAGTTCACCTCATTCCTGGCTCATATCTATTCCCTTTAAGCCCTGCAATAAACAAATCTTCTTTTATTTAAACTCCACTCTCCTGCCTTGGGTTTACTAGCTCAGCCATAACACTCTGGAGCCTGATCGAAAGGAAAGCTCACCCTGACACACTGTAAAGGAACATTCCAGTATTATTATTTAGGGTTTATTTGGGGCATTTTATGCCTTTATCAGAGAGTCAACAGAGAGATGGCAGGAAATGTAAGGAGAGAAAGAGATGAAATATGTCTGTATATACCAGTATATGTAGACTGTACCTGTCTACACTGAGTCTAAATAAAAGCTGTGCAACTGTTAATGGTCGGGGTGGAAATCAATTGTGAAAAAAGAAAAGTGGGACTAAATAGGGTGTTCACATATCATACAGGGAGAAGGAGGGTCCACAAGAGGTCCAGGAAAAATGATCAGCAGACGTAGAACGAGACCCTTCTTTACCAAGCCCTACGGAGTCCTGCTGCACCTGTCCCGCCTCCTCTCTCTGAGGATGAGCTTTTCCTACAAAGCTTGGGCCCAGGCGGTGGTGATGGAACAGTGGATAAGACACTTGTCTTTGGTGTTAGAGACCCAGGTTTGAATCCACGGTGAGACACTTAACCCCTAGTTGCTCCAGTGGCGTGCGACCTCTGACATGTATAGAAATTGTAAATCGCTTTGCATAAAACGTCAGCTAAATGAATAAATGTAATGTAGTCCAAAAGTAATCTGGTCGGCTATCGGATTGGATCAAATCTTGAAAATGGGTTGTTCAAGAGAAAAAAAGGATTCTGGAATCGGATCAGATCACCTAATCCAATCCTGGTTTTGATCTGGATCAAACCTTCAGTTTGTGTTCAAAACTTTTTAGCAGAATTGGGATCCCTTTGATCCAAAAAAATCAGGATTATCGGGATCCCAACAGAAGGCTGGATTCAGGGTGGATTTTAGGAACAAAATATCATAAAACTTTTTTTAATTTTTAACATTTATCATTTTTATCATGCCTGTATACACATTTATTTATGTTTTGCACCTGATTTGTTTAAACTTTACAGTGATAAAGTAGATAAAGTCGACATTACCTTTTACCCATTCAGTAAAGTAAAAGTAAAAAAAAAATAAAAAAATCCTCCGAACAGCTTCAAACAAAAATAATGCTTTTCATTTGTCACTCATTACTGTACATTAATTACAAAGACATCAGAGGCGATGCTCAAAATATCCACAGTGTATCTGTGAGTAATGTATATTTGTTTGTTTTTCTTGGTTTTGTTGTGGGTCAGATGGTTTGACTGTTAAGAAATTAAAAATGAAAGGAAATGTTTGTGTTGTTTTATTGTGCATTATCTGTCTCTTCAAATTAAAAGTGACCCCATGCTGGCTGTTCTACCTGTTGGTCTTTATATCATTAACAGCCTATGTTGTGATATGTAGTCCCATTTAGAGCACTGGAAATCCAGATTTGGCAATGCTGAAAAGTTTGTATCTGGATCAGGGTGATCCAATCCCACATTGCTTTGAAAAACGGACACAAAAGTAAGACAGGTTATGTGATCCTGGATAGCAAAACGTGGGATTTCCAAATTCGGATCATTCTGATCCAGATTAAACTTTTTGAAATTGCCGCCCTCAAACTCATTACTGAGGCCAACACTGTGGTGCTCGATTTGGAACTTGTGGCTGTGAGGGCGATAAATGTTTGTATAGACTCTTTGTAAATACGTTTTAAAAATACTGTGCATGTCATTTGCTGTGAATATTTTGAGTGTTTATTAAAATGAAAACACTGCATTTCAATATGGACTAAATACAGCAATATATGTATTTACAAAAATACAGCTGACACACAAAAGAAATCAACCTGATGTGCTTTTCTTTGTCATGACATAGATATTTTTGTTCATATCGAAAGTTTAGGTTATGTTTATATGATCATTCTTCTGCAGTTTACATAGAGATTTCTGTGGTTATCTGCTAAATGTGGTCGTGCTTCCAGTCACAAACTCTACACAGAAGATGAGCACGATTTTATATTGTGCATGATAAACTAATACTACACAGCTCTTGAAATTGAATAGACTCTGCATAACCCTTATCTAAATGAACAATTAAATTGCTATGTAATCACAAAATCTTTTAAATCCCAGAAATTGTAAGAACACAATAACAGCAGATGGCACCGTGTTGGTATTATTTTGCTTTTTTGTAACTATATAACAATAAAACATCAGATGAAGAATAAAAGCACACAATATTCTCCATGACATGAATATAAGTTCTCTCTTGGAAGCTTGCGCCCAGTGAATGGCCTCATGAGGTTATTCAGGAGTGGAAAGGCCTCATCAGCATCAAAGACTGGCTGGGGTCCTCAGTGGACAACTCCTGGTAGTGGAAGGTCAGCAGGCAGTTGGAGGGTGTCAGAATTGAAATGCTTGACCAAATGCTGAGTTGGCCAGAATCCCACAGTCACTTTGTTCTTCCATAGCCCCCGACATCAGTCACCCGGAAACAATAGCGGGCATCCACAACTCCAAGGAGAACCAATGTTCCCTTATAGTTAAAGTTAGCAGGGGCTTTGAGAACAACATACTTGCCGTCCTTATTAGCAGTGGCGGTATCAGGGAGACTTCCAACACGGAAGCTGTAAGCGATGGTCCTGAATAAGTCACCAAAGTATCTAAAGAAAACATTTAATTTATCTGGGTTGTAATGAACATACTGTGGATGTTTAGTAGTAAGATTATTACACACTTTCTGAAATTTACATAGAACTGAATACAGTATTCTGTGTGCCATCATTATCATGTGTGCCACTGTTGATTTAACCTGGAAGAAAGGAACAAATCGCTCCACGCGTTAGCCTATATTGATGCAGCCAGGAGCAGCCAGCTAACGCTACAGTAGCTCGGATCTGCCGCTGTTTGCTTCGTAACGTTCAGTTTAGGTTTTACTGATACTCAGGTACACAGCTTCTCCACCTCTCAGTCGCTGTAACAAACGTGACCCACATAATTTACAACCCAGAGGAAGAGCCATCCACTGACACTGCAGTAAATTTACTTACTGCGGTCTAACTGTTATAAAGTGTGACACAATCTCGTTATAATATTCACTCCAGCTCACTAACCGTTTCGTTATCATCCAATAGCCTTCATTTAGCTGTGCTCACACTGCTGAGATTCACAGATTCACACAGAGTAAAGATAGTTACTGAAAAGCAGCAGACAAGCTAATGCTGTAGCACGTCGGCTAAATGCAGTAAAGGTACTGTGATCATGTAGCGAGCATGGATTAGTTCAACCTGCAGCTGATAAAACTATTACTGTAACGTTGCAGTGGGAGTTTACCTGAGATTCCAGCTCTGTCTGTTCTCCCTGTCTGTCTATAGCCGCTGTCACTCTGTCTTTTTCCGGGAGGATTGTGCCGATATGCGCTGAATGAAGTAACGTTACGGAGCCGGTGTTGATCTGCCTCTGAGACGGGAACGTTGAAATAACAGAGCCTGAACATGTCTGAGTGAAAAGCCACAGCTGGCATGCTGGTGTTTCTGCGTTTATTGCGGGATTTCTGTATGACAGTGGCTGTGTTTTGGATTATGCTCGCTCATGACTGCTCGCTCATGACTGCTCGCTCATGACTTCAAGCGAGCACGTGTATGAGCACACGCCTGGTTGCAATCTTAGAACCACACCGCTAGTGGCTGCTGGAAACTCCATAATGCCCCTTTAAGAGAAACAGTTCAGACGTCGTAGTAATCAACATACATTCACCGCAACTAAAGAAAGGCTTTCATTAAGCTTTCTGCCAGATAGGCTTTAGGAAGTCAGGGTGACGTAGTACAAAGAGCCCGCAAAGAGCCTTGCAGTGGATAAATGGTCAGCTACAGGCTGAGAGACTGTCTATCATCTCACATGTGGTTAACATTGTGAACAATTGTGAGCAAGTGAACTTGCTGGACTGCAGGTGTGTCAACCCTGGTGTGATACTCCAAGTTTGCACTTGTGACAGAACAAAGGCCCACAGTTCTCCAGGATGCAGCGTTTTTTTATGCATACGTAAAAATGTACATGAAATGGAGCTGAATGTGCTCTGTGTCTGTGTGTGGAGCAATATATGTCCTCTTCCACCCCTCCACCACAACAAGAGCCCAGGATAGTGACTCAGGATCAGAATCAGAAGGAGCTTTATTGGCAAGTAGTGTTTTACACATGCGAGGAATTTGCTGTGGTGATAAGGTGCTACACGTAGACAAACATACAGTCGACATAAATAAATGTAGAAATATATAAATATGGAATAGAAGAACAACGTTGCAGATATATACATATGCATTATTCTGGGTTTGTGCCGTGCAGAAGTAACGCAACGGAAGAGAATATTGTGTAAATATATAAACTGACAACATAAAAATATACAACAACGAAGATCAACAATCAACAACAAATATTTGCAATGTGCCAGGTCTTTGCACGACATGAGATGAAACAGTATTTACATGAGCAGACATTTGCATCATTTGTAAGGGAGGAGTGTCAGTGGGGGCCCTTGTCCCTGGCAGTGGCAGCAGCGTACCAGATGGTGATGGAGGAGGTGAGGATGGACTCAATGATGGCGGTGTAGAAGTGCACCATCACTGTCTTTGGCAGGCTGAACTTCTTCAGCTGCCGCAGGAAGTACATCCTCTGCTGGGCCTTCTTGGCTCCCACTTGAGGTCCTGGGAGATGATGGTGCCCAGGAAGCGGAGGGAGTCCACAGTGGTGACTGGGGAGTCACATGGGATGATGGAGGGAGGAGAGCTCCTTTTCCAACCTTAGCTGTCTGAGTTTAGCTGTAAACCAGGGTTTGTCATTGTTATAACTCACCCCGGTGCGTGTTGGTATACATGTGTCCTCACAGAAGCTGATCTAGGACGTCACAGCCTCTGTAAACTCATCCAGATTGTTGGTAGCCTTCTTTGTTTTTTTTTTGTTTTTTTTAAACCTGTCCTGCCCAGCAGCCTGGTATAGAGTATGATGAGCTGGATACCATATTGTGCCAGACAGATTTTACTTTAACGAGAGTATTAATATATTCCTTTGTCTGTTTTATTATTTATTTAATGCGAATCCCGTGCGAGGTCGGGCAAACGAGAGAGCGAGCGGCAGAACATGACAGCGAAAGCCAGCGGAGAGAAACACCAGCAGCAAGTCCCAGCCCGGCAGCAAACGCACTGCGCAGGTCACCGTGGACCCGCCAATAAAAGTCCGCCGTCCCCCCAAGCCAACGAGGAAATGCCCCCCCCCCGGACTCCAATGTACAAACTAAACGCCCAGCAGCCATCCA